GTGTGTCAATACAGTTTTAATTTTATATATATAGACACACACACACAAATATATTCATATTTGAAAAATCTAAGCCTATATAAATTATACCTATCCAGATATTTTTAATTATAATACACAAATACATACATTTGTAAATCAAAACACCCTTTATTTAATTATAGAATTATTTCTTAATCTCCGTCTTAATTTACCTTGTTTTTATTTAATTATAGAATTATTTCTTAATCTCCTAACATGTTAATCCTATTTTTATTGTTTTTAGAGTAGTACTTGCAGTAATAGTTTTTTAAATTGTGGCCTGTTGATATAAATATTACTATATAAAAACGATATCTATGAAATTTTTTCAAACCTTAATTTGCGTACTGTTTTATATTACATATTAAAAAGCATATATTCTTTTTTATACATGTATCGATATGTTGATGGTTACTTTTCTTTTCACCATAAAGTCACGGATATGATCTCAATACCTGGAGAAGTCAAGCCGGATGAACAAAAGACTATCGGAAATGGGTGTATGAAACTTGGATGTAAGAGAACTTGGCTTTGTTTGTGGTGATTCTTGCACGGAGTATTAATGTATAAATAGCAAGTTCAATGAGACACCTCACTCTAATGCATTAATTGTCCAAGTCCTTTAAAGATTTCACAATCTCAACATTTAATGTTGAATGAGACATAGGGCCTGTTTGGGATTAGCGTTAGAGATTAGCGTTAGCGTTTTGGATAAAATTTTAACGGCGCAGATCGCTTTGAAAACGCTAACACTAAACGCTGCTCGTAGATAGCTTTTTCAAAACGCTAACGCTAATCGCTAACGATGTTCCCAAAGAGGCACATAAAGTAATTTTTACATTAAAAGTAGTGCTTGGTTTGATGGCTGCCGTGCCCACACTATTCGAGGTAGACATAAAGGTATTGGAAGAGACATTAAATACCCTCCTACTTTAAAGATTTAAAATCTATTAATTTAATTTGGAAGAGACATAAAGGTATTGGGAGTGTAAAGCATGCTCACGTGTTTCAAGAAAGGTGGCAGATTACCTTTCGGCCCAGGGATAGCAGCCCAATTACAGAGAATTGGGTCATTACTTTATGGCGGGAATATTGTAGAAATCCTTCTCACACCATTGTATAGATAGAGATTAATAGTGTGGGCTGTGGAGCACTTGAATCCAATTGTGTGGTGTGATGGACTAGACCATATATCACGTCCATTCCATCTCATTTTTAAAATTTTTAAAGTCATAATTAACTTTAAAAAAATTCTTAAATTTACTTAGTATTTTACTGATTTCCATTTTCTGTTTTTGAATTTAATCAACCAATAAACAAAAACCTTAAATTATACTCATAATAAAAAAAACTTTAAAAGAAAGTTAAAAAATGAAATTTAAAAGTAAACACATAAGAGCAGTTGTAGTACTCTTAAAGCCAAGCGGCGTTATTGGCATTTTGATGCCTGGGGGCGTTAAACACCGCCCCCTCCCCCGTTAAAGACTTAAAGATGCGTTAAAATTCATGCGTCAAAGTTTTGACGTGATTGGAAGGTGTTATAACGCCTTCTTCCTTCTTTTTTCTCCTTTTTTTCCCTCTTTTCTTCTCCATAAATTAAATTAATTTTTTAAAAAAATTCAACACAAATACAAATTTCTTTCTATGTATCATCTTTTTTTAAAAAAATTATTATTTTAGTATTTTTTTTATTTTTTCATGAATGTAAATTTTTAATTTAATGAATGTAATTTTTTATTTAATGAATGTAGTTTTTTATAATCAATGTAAATTTTTTATTAAATGAATGTAATTTTTTTATTTAATGAATGTAATTTTTTTATAATGAATATATTTTTTTAATGAACTATTGTCGTTTCAATTCTTTTAAATAATTAAATAGTTAAAGTTTATTAATTTAATTTTAAAAAATGTGTATTTAAAATGTTAAAAATGAAGGTTTGAAGCCCCAGTTTGAAGCATCGGGGCTTCAAACCCATTTCCACTGAAACTGTGACGTAAGTTAAAGCTGACGTGACAGAGAAAGAAGGTTTGAAGCCTTTACGGGTATTTCGAGTGCCCTAAGGAAGTAGAAGAACAAGAAGAAGAGAGAAAAGAATGGATCGGAGCAAACTAAAAAAGGAAAATCATCTCTGAAATCGTGATTGACATCACCCTCGTGATCATGTAAGTAATTCGTTAATACTCCGGAGTAGTAACAAATATTGGATAATAATCAATATTTTTAATGATTATGTAATTCTTTAAAGAATGTCTTATTTTGCTTGAACAATGTAATAAATTATTTAGGATTATCTTAAATAGGACTAAAACACACAAAAATGTAAAATTAGGAGCACCATGTTTTTATTCTCAAAATAGAAGTTCAGGCTGTGATAATGTGACACTGTACAAGAGCACATTACTATACTATTTAGTAATGTACATGACCATGTTTGGTAATATAAATGCATTTCAACTCTTATTTCCGTAATTAAAATATAGAAGCCCTATTTTAGTGTTCCCTCCATTTGGAAAAAGTCTTCCCACTTTGACTATAACCAAAATTAGGAAGTATAAAATTATAGTTGACTTCCAATTTTACCTATGATGTGATGAGTAAAAGTATGATGTGATGAATTTATTATTAGAGAAAAAATATGAAGTGATAGGTAGGATATGAAAAAGTAAGGGTAAAAGTAGGTTTTTAATAGAAAGGGGAAGTGTTTTGTTGGAAGTGAATAAAATGAAAGAGGAAGTGTTTTTGAGAACGAAGTGAGTATATTTTTAATGTTTTACTCCTCCTTTAGTTTTTTTCTATCTATGTCAATCTATTCTTTTATAATGATTAATGACTAAACGAACTAATCTTTAGGATGAAGGGTAGATTTGGACATTTTGAATAAATTTAATCCTATATTAAGAATAGAAGAAAACCTAGTTTGCCTTATCAATGGAAAAGAAATACTCCGTATCTTTTAACCCTATACGAAGCAATTTATTTCTTGTTAATAAAGCAAAATTGTGTGAAAGAAATTACTACCTCCGTCCCATTTTGTAACGCCTGTTTCGGTTTACGATGTTTGACTGAAATTATTTTCAAACTATTTTATATGAAAAATGGTATAGAATTAAAAAATAAAAATTAAATATTAAAAAACTACATCAAAAGATCTACAAAACTAGTAGTGACAATAGTATTTTATTTTATCAAATTGCTAACGAAAATAGAGAAAGAAAGTGAATGAAGTTTGACCCTGTGAATAGTAAACATGCATTATTATTTAGGACGGAGGGAGTACAATTTTTTATGTAGAGGAATGAAATATTTTTATCACATGGACCATATAATATACTTCCTCCGTCTCAAAAAACGTTTCTCCTTTCTTTTTTCATTCGTCCCAAAAAACACTTCTCATTTCTTTTAAAAAGTCACTTTTACCCCTTACTTTTTCATACTCTACCTATCACATCATATCTTTTTTACTAATAATCTATCCATCAAATCATACTTTTACCCATCACATCAAAGGACATTTTTAAAAATTCAATACCAAAATATGCTTTCCCTAAATCCCTCCCCAAAACCAAAACTCACATGTTTTTTGAGACGGAGTGAGTATTTTTTAATTGAAAGTGAAAAGGTTTNAAAACGTTTCTCCTTTCTTTTTTCATTCGTCCCAAAAAACACTTCTCATTTCTTTTAAAAAGTCACTTTTACCCCTTACTTTTTCATACTCTACCTATCACATCATATCTTTTTTACTAATAATCTATCCATCAAATCATACTTTTACCCATCACATCAAAGGACATTTTTAAAAATTCAATACCAAAATATGCTTTCCCTAAATCCCTCCCCAAAACCAAAACTCACATGTTTTTTGAGACGGAGTGAGTATTTTTTAATTGAAAGTGAAAAGGTTTTAGGAAAATAAAAAACAAAAGTAAAATGGTAATTATGGAAAGAGAGAGTAAGTATTTTCCAAAATATTTTAAAAGTTGGGCATAGAAAATCAAATAGAACGTTAAAAATGATGGTTGGAGAGAAATGGAAGGCTGGGGCCGATGAGTTCAACCAACCTGCTAATCTAAATCGGATTTGAGTTCAATCGAGTTTGATCCATTTTTAGTGTGTCATTTCGGGTTCGATGAACAAAACCTTTGTTCAAAATCCATCATTTTCAAGTGAAGTTTCGAGTAAAAAAACAAATCGAATCATTTTTTGCCAAATCTCGCTTTTTCCATGGAAAATTCGGAAAGAAGACAATTTGATAATGGTGTGATAATTAAAAAATGAAAAGTAAGTCCGGTCAGAAAAATATACGGAGTATGTCGTTTTGTTGGTTGGGCCCTCCAGCGTATCATGTCCGTAATTTACAAACAATTAAACCACAGTTTTTTATTCTTGCCATTTGTGTTAAGCCTAACATTTTTTTTGGAGCAATGCTAGGGATACACCAAAAAGTGTATCCCAAATGTACATCACTCCCTTCTCCACCACACATTTTTATTTGATTTTTATTTTTAAATTTTTTTGCCTTTTTTAGTAGACATAGAGGGGGTGGAGGACATATGGGATATACCACACCTTTGGTGTACCCTGGTATTTTTCTTTTTTTTTTGGGATATTCTTGGACTACAACATTTGGGGTACCCGGTATTTTTTTTTCTTTTTTAATACGGAGTAACTTTTAACTTGAATATGCTGTTTCAAAAAAAAAACTTGAATATGCCGACTCCCTATCGGGAATAAAGATACAATACTACACAACCATATATATGAAAAAAAAGGAAATATAATAACGTTAATCATTACGATGGGCAAAAGATTAAAACAGAGAACTTAAAAACTACGGTCTCCGTCCTCCTATATTTGTCCATTTTCATTTTACACATCATCCAATACACTTCTTTAATTCATTTTATCCTGTAATTTGTATATTAAAAAATTATAGAAATTATATATTAATAATCTATATGTTAAAACAAATCATACAAGATCACACATGACTATATTTAAACTTACACATTGAGAGAATTTGATGAGTCAAAGTACTTAGATGAACAGTTCCAAAAGTAAAAAATGAACAAATACAAGGAGATGAAGAGAGTAATTATCATAAAAGCATAGTAATAAAATAAGTAGTACTCCGTATTAGGGAATAATCATTAATAAGTAGCTAACTTAGAGATGGGGCCGAGATAGGGCATCCCCGAACCTCCCCATTATTTACTATTTTTAAAAACCTCACCGGCTTGGGTAAACGGGCAGTGGCAGCAGATCAGCTCTGGGACGGCAGAACCATCCATCATCTTGGTTCCTGCCAGATAAGTAGAGCCATCCTGCACAAAAAATACGAGAGCAAACATCGCCACCACATCAAAGACATAGAGGAAAAGCTTATTCTTCATCCTTTTCAAGATGACATCCACGCGGCCAACATAGGACTTTCATTCGGGCTCTCTCATCCGCTTCTCTCGTCTGCCTCTCCTCCACCACAAGATCCTGCTCAACTAAACCTTCGGCCGTCTTGAATTCGGCAAAGTCCACCACAAACTTATATTTCTTATAAAAGAACTCTTTAAACTCACCCTTGGTCTCCAGCAGCCTGAAGATGCACGCCCCAGCTTTGACAATGACCCATAAAACAAGTCCGAAGAAAACCGGGGTAAGGTACGTTTCTCTTACCCTGGTTTTCACAGTGGTCATCATCAAAGAAGAAGCTGAAGAAAGACTCGCAAGAGTCACAGCCGCCTGGACGAGCAGCCCCTTGTACGCATCGGTGGCGGCATACGCCAAGCCGCAGGGCGCCATATAATCTTCTTTCAACGCTTGCACCTCGCCCTCTTTCGCGGCTACGATATTCTCCAGTCTCCCAGTCTCATCCTCTGCCGGAGGAGGAAGGGGTCGCATGAGCGTCTCATTTAGTCGCGTTAAAGTATTGTTCAAAGCTCCTACTGCTCTTGTGAGACTGTCAACTGATTTGGTTAAGTGAACCAAATCATGTTGAGGGGCAGCATTAGCAGCTGCAGGAGCAGCCATGGCGGGGGGACTGTGTAAGAAGAAGAAGTGAGACAATTGATAATTGATACACTCCTACAAGTCTGCAATTTATACTCCGTATTTTAGGGTTAGCCTGGCTTCTCCTTTCCTTTGAATTGACCAGAATACCCCCACGGCCCCACCCTTCCATTTCTCTCCAACCATCATTTTTAACGTTCTATTTGATTTTCTATGCCCAACTTTTAAAATATTTTGGAAAATACTTACTCTCTCTTTCCATAATTACCATTTTACTTTTGTTTTTTATTTTCCTAAAACCTTTTCACTTTCAATTAAAAAATACTCACTCCGTCTCAAAAAACATGTGAGTTTTGGTTTTGGGGAGGGATTTAGGGAAAGCATATTTTGGTATTGAATTTTTAAAAATGTCCTTTGATGTGATGGGTAAAAGTATGATTTGATGGATAGATTATTAGTAAAAAAGATATGATGTGATAGGTAGAGTATGAAAAAGTAAGGGGTAAAAGTGACTTTTTAAAAGAAATGAGAAGTGTTTTTTGGGACGAATGAAAAAAGAAAGGAGAAACGTTTTCTGAGACGGAGTAAGGGGCTGTTTGGCAACTTCTGAATGGGTAAGTGCTGAACCAGTAAGAGGTCTGAATCATTAAGTGCTGAACCAGTAAGAGGTCTGAACCATTAAGAGCTAGTATATTGCTTAACTATTCAGAGGCAAATGTCTGATCAATTCAGATAACAGCTCTTAACCATTCAGACTCTGTATAATACTTAACCATTCAGAGGCAAATCTCTTAACCATTCAGACATCTGAACCATTAAGAGGCTGAAACAAACAGTCTGAACCATTAAGTGCTGAATCATTCAGACATCTGAACCATTAAGAGGNTGATTTTCTATGCCCAACTTTTAAAATATTTTGGAAAATACTTACTCTCTCTTTCCATAATTACCATTTTACTTTTGTTTTTTATTTTCCTAAAACCTTTTCACTTTCAATTAAAAAATACTCACTCCGTCTCAAAAAACATGTGAGTTTTGGTTTTGGGGAGGGATTTAGGGAAAGCATATTTTGGTATTGAATTTTTAAAAATGTCCTTTGATGTGATGGGTAAAAGTATGATTTGATGGATAGATTATTAGTAAAAAAGATATGATGTGATAGGTAGAGTATGAAAAAGTAAGGGGTAAAAGTGACTTTTTAAAAGAAATGAGAAGTGTTTTTTGGGACGAATGAAAAAAGAAAGGAGAAACGTTTTCTGAGACGGAGTAAGGGGCTGTTTGGCAACTTCTGAATGGGTAAGTGCTGAACTAGTAAGAGGTCTGAATCATTAAGTGCTGAACCAGTAAGAGGTCTGAACCATTAAGAGCTAGTATATTGCTTAACTATTCAGAGGCAAATGTCTGATCAATTCAGATAACAGCTCTTAACCATTCAGACTCTGTATAATACTTAATCATTCAGAGGCAAATCTCTTAACCATTCAGACATCTGAACCATTAAGAGGCTGAAACAAACAGTCTGAACCATTAAGTGCTGAATCATTCAGACATCTGAACCATTAAGAGGCTGAAACAAACAGCCCCTAAGTATATTATATGGTCCATGTGATAAAAATATTTCATTCCTCTACATAAAAAATTGTAATTTCTTTCACACAATTTTGCTTTATTAACAAGAAATAAATTGCTTCGTATAGGGTTAAAAGATACGGAGTATGGAGTATTTCTTTTCCATAGATAAGGCAAACTAGGTTTTCTTCAATTCTTAATATAGGATTAAATTTATTCAAAATGTCCAAATCTACACTTCATCCTAAAGATTAGTTCGTCTAGTCATTAATCATTATAAAAGAATAGATTGACATAGAAAGAAAAAACTAAATAGGAGTAAAACATTAAAAATATACTTATTCCGTTCACAAAAACACTTCCTCTTTCATTTTATTCACTTCCAACAAAACACTTTCCCTTTCTATTAAAAATCCACTTTTACCCTTACTTTTTCATATCCTACCTATCACATCATACTTTTTCTCTAATAATAAATCCATCACATCATACTTTTACTCATCACATCATGGGTAAAATTGGAGTATAATTTTATACTTTCTTATTTTGCCTTATAGTCAAAGTGGGAAGACTTTTTCCAAATGGAGGGAGTACTAAAATAGGGCTTCTATATTTTAATTCCAGAAATAAGAGTTGAAATGCATTTATATTACCAAAGATGTCAATCACGATTTCAGAGACGATTTTCCTTTTTTAGTTTGCTCCGATCCATTCTTTTCTCCCTTCTTCTTGTTCTTCTACTTCCTTAGGGCACTGGAAATACCCATGAAGGCTTCAAACCTTCTTTCTCTGTCACGACAGCTTTAACTTACCTCACAGTTTTAGTGGAAATGAGTTTGAAGCCCCGAGGCTTCAAACTGGAGCTTCAAACCTTTATTTTTAACATTTTAAATACTCTTTTTTTAAAATTAAATTAATAAACTTTAACTATTTAATTATTTAAAAGAATTGAAACGACAATAGTTCATTAAAAAAATATATTCATTATAAAAAAATTACATTCATTAAATAAAAAATTTACATTGATTATAAAAAACTACATTCATTAAATTAAAAATTTACATTCATGAAAAAATAAAAAAAAATACTTGAATAATAATTTTTTTAAAAAAAGATGATAGATAGAAAGAAATTTGTATTTGTGTTGAATTTTTTTTAAAAAATCATTTAATTTATAGACAAGAAAAGAGGGAAAAAAAGAAGAAAAAAGAAGGAAGAAGACGTTATAACACCTTCCAATCGCGTCAAAAATTTGATGCATGAATTTTAACGCACCTTTAAGTCATTAACGGGGGAGGGGGCGGTGTTTAACGCCCCCGGGCGTCAAAATGCCAATAACACCGCTTGGCTTTACGAGTAGTACCACCGCTCTTATGTGTTTACTTTTAAATTTCATTTTTTAACTTTTTTTTAAAGTTTTTTTTATTATGAGTATAATTTAAGGTTTTTTGTTTATTAAATTTAAAAACAGAAAATGGAAATCAGTAAAATACTAATTAAATTTAAGAATTTTTTTAAAGTTAATTATGATTTTAAACATTTCAAAAATGAGATGCAATGGACGTGATATATGGTCTAGTCCATCAACAACCCACACTATTAATATGACATAAAAGACCACACATTATAGAATTGAATCTGTGCATATCTATGTTTATTAGACTTAGGGATTTTGTTTTTTCTGCAAGAAAAGGTTTGCGGACCACTACTGTAGACATCTGTAGGAAAAGTGGTGGACCGAATGTTTGCGGTCTGCAAGAAGAAGATTGTTTGTTTTTTAATATCTGTAGACTGCTATATAAATTAATGGTGGTAGTGTACGGTGGTGGTGGTGGAGGATGGTGGTGGACGTTGACGGCAGCGGTGGTGGACGGTGGTGGTGGTGGCGGTGGATGGTGACGGTGGTGGTGGACGACGATGGTGATGGACGGTGACGGTAATGGTGAATGGTGGTAGTGGTGGA